GGTTTTTCAAGTGCCTGTCAAGCAAGCGATAAATGACTCGTTATTTCGTTGTACTTGCTTTTTTGAAACTTTTTATAAAATAAACGAAGCACTTTATTAACATTGGTCAATAAAAACAATGTAAGACGGATAATTTTATGTAAATTATCAGAAGCGGTAAAAGGGCGCTGCACATGTCCGTTTGAATTTCTCGTGTTTTTTAGCTTTTATCCACCAAAACCTCAATCATTTGAGGCAAATTGAAACTTTGGTTATAATTATGTGTAATTTCACTAAATGGTAGTAAAGCGGGTTTTCCCGCCATGCAGAGAAATGTTAAAAAAGACTGTGAGGATACTGTGGACGATCCGAAAGTGCGGCAATCATTTCTGTATGGTGAATGAGTTCAAGTTTATTGTGTGTTTTTGTATGTTATTCAATACATTTGGTTAAAAAATATTTGTATGCCGAGAAAAAACACACTATTTTTTCACAATTTAAAAGGGCAATATTTGGTTATTGGATAAGTTTTTATAATAAAACAATAAAAATTTGGTTATGAAAAGACAAAAAAAGATCTAAAGCGGGTTTTCGCCACCGTATTATTTTTTATTTTAAAACTCGGCAAAATGCCAAAAACGTTATTTTTCTATACAATAAAACAAGTAAATGGCAGTGAAGCGGTTTTTCCCGCCAGCCAAAATGCTTGCCCAAAAGTGCATTTCAATAAAAATTGTTGAAAACATCATGGAGACAATGACTGTTAAACCCAATACGTTATTGAGAAGACATGGTGCCAAAGTGAAAGTTGATGTGTTGTTTATCTTAAAAATGTTCTTATACCTTTATCCATTAATTACAAAAAATGATTATCAACAACTTTCTTACTATTTGATGGACTATCTTGTTCATTTTATTACAGTAAATATATGAAATATTTTGGGATTTCAGCACATACTTTTATAAAGAAGAAGAAAATAACTAAAAACATTAATTATTTATTATAATTTATACTATAACCTGTTTCAAAATTGATTCGAATGGTGGGTCTGAAAAGTAATGAAACCCATTTAACACTTGTATAGTTCAAAAGAGACACACAACAACAACCACGGCTTCGATACGTTGTGTCAAATGAATCAATTCATGATCATTATATGGGTGTCATGCAATTAAATTTGACAATAAGAAAAATATAAGTCATCGTTTTTAACTATTTTATAATAGTAAATAAACTATTTTTTAACCAGTTTTTCAAAAATACGATTTTAGTTACATAAATGGTTAAATTATAATAATTAATAGTTTTAAAATATAATAATTTATAAATCTAAATTTATTTATCGCAACATCATTTATTTAAATTGATTAAAAATATATTAATAAACAACAAATTTAACAATTAATAACAAAGTTATTTTTCATTTGATAATATACAAGTAAATAATAAAAACAATTCTTTAACTTTACTAACAATAAAAATAAAAAAGTCTTTTATCGCAACAAAACAAAGTAACTATAAAATTGTTAGATTAAAAAACACTTGTTAAATTTTTAAATAATAATAATAGATAACCAATAAAATTTAACAATAATATAAAAAACAATATCAATAGCCTATAAAATTAACTCTTTTATAAACCTTTTTAAACAATGTCCCAACCTTCTTCCAAGCCCCCTCAATTAAAGAAAGAAAATAAAAAATGTTCCAAAATACATGAAAGTTTGAAAAATGATTGGTCCGAAAATTCCTGTTAGTCAAAGGGCCGAACAATACCTGATTAATTGCCCTATTATTTTCAAAGCTTTCCAAGACCTTGAGATAAAAATAAAAAAGAATCTTTTCCCACTTTTAGAGAGCAAGTGCGGTTTTCATTAAACGATCTTTCTAATGTACCAATTAATGAGTTTAAAGGAACTAAAAAATCAATCAGAGTGGCACTTGAGTATTTTTCGGGACTTTTAAGGAATCGGGTGTAAATTCCCAAATTCAAAAAATACGAAAAGAAGACAAAAATGGAAAAATTTCAGAAAAGAAAAGAAAACGACTTCTTTCAGATGAAGAAGTTCTAAAAATAGCAGAAGAAATGAAAGAAACCAAAAAAGCAAAACCAGAAGAAATTGGACTTTTCATGTTTGAAAATTTCGGCAAAACAATGGGAACAAGGCAATTAAATAAAGTCCTTAAATTAATCCCAGGAATTGAAACAAAAAAGCCCAAGTTATGGAAACAAAACGACCAGAGGTATCACAAACTGCCATCCTGCAGTATTACTCAGAATTAAAAAGAAAATTGGATGGATGCAGATTTGAGCTTGTTTTTAACTTAGATGAAGTTGGATTCGATGAATGGGTTGATTCTAGAACCCGAGTTGTCTACATGTCAGTCGAATCAGGGGAACAAGTTTTTAACGAAGTCGACAGAGATGGTTGTAGAACGAGTCTTTTGTGTTGTGGTTGTCTAGATGGGACAAAAATGATACCCCTTGTTGTTACCAAAAGACTCACCACTATAGACAAGCTAATTGTGGAACTCAAGAGTCGTGCTATTATTAGATACCAAAAATCAGGTGTTCTAAATACGGAATTATACACAATGTGGCTCAAACAAGTGTTTTCCCGATTATTAAGGAAAAAAGAAACCGAATGGGTGTGAGAGTTGATACGAAGGCGTATCTAATTATTGACAGCTTTTTGGGCCATTTCAGTGATGAAATTGAAGCATTATTTCGAGAAAATTGTGTTAAAATTATAAAGGAAGTCCCCCACAGTTCCCATTTATGTCAGCCTATGGATCTGGGACTTTTCGGGAAACAAAAAACTTTCCTTGCGGACAAAAACAATTTGATGTTACACAAAATTTCATTAAGTGAAAAAGAAAATGAAAAGTGTGACGAAAAGGTCCAAAGAAACGGGAAAATTCTCAAAATGAACTCACCCGAGTTCAAAAATGCATTGAAAAAATTTGCAAAGCTCTCAGAGGAAGACAAAATTAGGCAGCTTGTTTACTCATGGGAAGTAGTGTTTGATGGCGACACGATGATTAGCGCCTTCAAACAGGCTGGTATAATATACGTGGTTCAACACCCATCTAAAGAAGAGTTGGAAAACATGAGACGTGTCAACCCCAACTTCAACACTGTAGACCTTCTTAAAGGTGTTGCAAAAGTTGACATGTCTTATGCCAGAGAGGTTTGCTCTTTTTTGGTAAGGATCCAAAAAGAAAAGAAACCCAGACTGTTAGAGTCTCCATTGAAAATTTTTCTGATAGAGAGCACATGCTCGGTGTTGAAAAACTTATGAAAATCAAAAAGGATGAAAAGAACAAAATTTCAAATGAAAAGAAACCTCGAAAAGAAAAAAAAATAACTTGGTTTTATTTTTTTTTTATTTTTTTAATTAAATTTTCCATTTAATATTATTGCGTTTTATCGCAATAAAAATCTGTAAAATATTTATTTTTAAAGTTCTAATAATCAAAAAAATGAAGAAGGGTATAAAAGAGAACTTGTAAAGTGTAAATTACAAAATATAACGTTTAATGCGAAGTTAAACAATTTTTGTTTGTTTATTAGACAGCAACACAATGAAGAAAATAATATTAAAGTGATAAATTTAAAGTGACGACAAGGAAGAAGCCGATAACGAAGATAACAACATTCATTTTTGTTTTATTTATTTATTAAAATTATCATACTTAATGTTTATTTATTTATTTGAAAACGAATGTATTTTTGGTTAAATGTCTTTAAAGTGTTGTCAATATCCCGTTTTCTTACAAATAAATTCTGGAATAACTCAACTATTAACCGTAATATAAATAGACTTTAACTGCCTTCTTCTAAACAATTCGAAAAAATGCTCAGGCAAAATGAAAATGATGTTTTTTTCTTTTTGTTTAAATAAAAAAATAAAATCAAATAACATTTAGAAAACATTTTACCATTATTCACCAAAAATTATCAAAAGCGGTTTTTTCCATCTCTTTACTGTATCTATCAAAAAATTATTTTTTTGAATTTGATCAAAAACCATTTTTGAAAACTTTTAAACAAATATAATGGCAATTACAACAAAAACATTTAAAATTTTTAAAGCCATCTCTTAAAAAGTGGTCTTTTACATTAACACTCTTTATAAGATAATAATACTGTATTATAATTATTATTAATAAATAATATTTGTTATTTTTAATGTTATTACAATTATTAATAAATATTTATAATTTTTAATACCATAATTAATGTCATTAATACAATAAATAATTTTACTTTTTAAAATTAATAATTTTAAGTATTTTATTTTATTTTGATTAATTAATTAGTTTAAAAAATATAAAAAAAATTAAAACCCATAAACAAAACTAAACGAACTCATATTTTATTTTTTATGTCGGAGATAAAGATTTATAGTTTGGAGGAACTATATGGACTCCGAAAACAAAAACTCAACGTCAACGTAAGTTTGATGAAAAAGAAGAATAAAAAAGCTGCGAAGAATAAAAAGGGGCAATACGATAGTTCTTCTCCTTCAGAATTTTTCGTTTGTTTTTATAATAGTTAAATAATAGTAAACAAACTATACATTTTATCTATCTATGTGAATTTTATATTTTAGTGGAAAGAATTATTTAATTAACTATATGTGATATACAAAACTAACGACACAGGAGCGATACAGATGGATTATGCATGACGTTGTGTTGATGCAAAAGAACGGAGAGACCAAGATGAAAGGGAGTGAATTATATGAATTGTTTTTACAGGGGAAGTTACTCCTCCATGAATGCACTGTTAAGTCACAAGACACAAACATCCCCTTTGTTTTGCAACTGAAAAAGTGTGTTGACATTTATAAAAAGATTTTGGATATCGATAACGAGAAAGATCAAGAGAAACTCAGTTTGTTGTTCAATTTGGTTTTAACTATTATATGATAATAATTTAATTAATATGAAATAGTTTCACCATCGAACATAATAACTTAACTGTAGAACTTAAAGAAGAAGAAATGAACAAACCAAAAGCAGCCGGACCTGTTTACAACGAACAAAACGTCGACGAGAACCTATTTGATCCCCTTGCGGAGTTAGGAGGAAATATAGAATGAAACATAAGTTGTGTTTTTTTATAGTTCTTAAATAATATTTTTACTATATAAATATAGATTATAGAATATTTTTGGTAATATACAAAAATATACTAATTTAATTATAGTTGTTCTTTTAAAATAAACTATTATAAATAGATATACTATATATTATGGTAATTTATCTATAATTTTGTTATTCATTTAAATGTTAAAAAATAAAAAACAAATGGCGTATATTTATGTAATAAATCGGGAAAACATACAAAAAAAATTAACTTTTGGATATTAAAATAGATAATCCAAAATTGAATAAATCAAGTAAAAGAAACAAAAACGGACACAAAAATGGGAAGAAAAAAAGTCTAATTGATAAATTCATAGTTTTTTATATTCAAATTATTTATATGCATGCTTTCGATCCAAAAATGTGTTTCTATTCCCATCGAAAAGAGGTGTTTTCTTAAAGTTCTGAATGGTATGTTTTGATTAGGATAAAAAGTGAGTGTTACACCAAAAACGATTGAAATTTAAAAAAAAAAATCCACTTTTGGATTTTAATATTCACAGTATAATTATAATAATTACACTTAATAGTAGTTTTTATTATTCAGTTTAGTAAAAATGGGTGTGTCTGGAGTTACCACTAAAAATACAATACATCGAAAGAGATGTCCAAACAAAACAAACTCGAATTTCAATGATGCAGCGTCTGAACATAGGCCAGACGCGAACACCAGTCCCATTCGACCGTTCAACATCACAAGGAGGAAAAACAGTGACACCGTCTGCTTCTCCCGACAATGCAACTCCCGAGCGAGTGTCATGTGACTGTCGTCGTCAATCCCAAATTGCTTTAGTTATTCTTACAATATCATTTTTGAAGTGTGAACAACAGATTGATATATCTTCCGTCTTAAGTCCGACAGTAGTAGGGATCTATTTCTTCGAAGTCCAGCTTGAAAACACGTCAATGGTTTGTTATTAGTTAATGAATATTAGATGACATATACTATATCTATTAATATCATATTGAGTAAAGTATAGTATAATAATATATAGTATAGTTATTAAAAATATACTAATAAAAAGGTTATTGAGAAAAGATACTCGCAATTCTATTTTCTCGACAATTACCTTCATTTAAAACTCCCGAAGAAAGTCATGCCTACCCTTCCCCCAAAAGAAATATTACACAGTGGCTCCCATCCGGACGTCATCCATCGAAGATCCAAAGAACTTTCAAAATACTTAGAAACTATAGTAAAGATCCCGGGCGTCTTAAAAGACACTGTGGTAGTTGAGTGGTTCATGCAACCCCCAGACAAACACATAGTTGGGTTTTCTAAACAGCGGAAGGCGGGGTATTTGTCGATTGAAGGGAGTTTTTTTAAGAATTGGAAACGGCGGTATGCAGTGTTAGCGAAGAATGTGATAGCGCTGTTTAAGACTGCGAAGGATCTTTTGGTGTATGAAGACCCGATCGAAGTGTTTTGTATACGGAATTGTACGATAGCGCCTGTTCTTGATAAAGGGCCGAATGTCATGACCCTCTCCCGAAACAATATGACGCTGTGTTCTCTGTATGTGGAGAACGACGACGACTTCTTGTCGTGGTTGTCAGCAATACAAACGGATATCAACGTGGCTAAAGGAAGAAGTACCCCGCTGTGTACACGAATGAAAGTCATCCCCCCAAACGCGAAGAAAAAGACGTCAACGACGTTGGCAATAGCGTCGTTCTCGGCACTGAGCGTGAACGACTCGCCAAGAAAGAAAACGGGGAAACGGCTCTCTCGAATGTTCGACACAGACGTCTGCTCTTCGTATGAAAGTGTTATTAACGCACTCTATGAACGATTTCGAAACGAAATGAACACGATCTACCCCGTCTACTTGGAAGACAGAAAAGAGATGAAAGAGGAACACTGCAAGTTCTTCGAGGAAATTCGAGGCCTTCAATTGAGTGACTTTTTGGAGGGGAACAAATTGGAAGACACTTTTCAGAAGCTTCTTGTGGTGAGTAAATTGTATACAAATTTGGGAGGGGTCCAGAAAATAACATGGCTATTTATTAACATTCATAAGATGTATAGAATGTATTGCGGCTGCGGGTTCGACGCTTTGGAACAGTTCCAGGAGTTTAGAGCTACAAACAGTACACAAAGCATTGATTCTTCGTTTGTTATTTATTCTAATAAATATATTAATAAATATAGAAATTAACTCGAGTATTTGTTTTACTAATAATAAATTAAAATAGAACTATATTATAATGTATTACTTTGTTAATCTATGAATTCTCATTTATTTATTAGAACTGATAATATAATAAAATTATAATAAATTAATTAAAGTATTACTATTAACACTTTATTTAAAGAACTCTGTGACCCACAGCAAAATGTTAGTGTGTAAGTTGTGTGAACACCAATATAAAATGTCACAGTTTTGTGACCACACGCGACTTTGTGAATTGATAGTTCGTGGGTGTAGTAAAGAGATGTCGTGTATGAATCGGTTCAAATTACTTGTGACGTATCTTCGTGATTCGTATGGATGTAAAATGATTAAAAACACGTTCAAATACACGCAGCTGATTGAACTTCTTCCGTCATCTAAAGTACCATCGTGTTATTTAAAAGTTGGGAAATTAATCGAAGCGATTAAGACGTTGTGTGTAGATTTAGAAGATGTGATCTTATTAACATTTGCGCGTGCGATCACTGATGTTCTAGTTACATATCAGAAGTTGTTAATCGAATATTGTGAAGGGAAGGGGTGTAAGAACATGTGGAGTTTTCTTTCTATCTTATCGACGACTGCGAAACAAACGAAACAAGAAGTCTTACAGCGCCCGGACTCGAATCTCACGACGGTGGATGACTTTGATATAGTGAAGAAGTTTAGTGCTGGAGCGTATAGCCGGATATATTTAGTTAAAAAGAAGAGCACAGGGGATTACTATGCGATGAAAGTGATGCGAAAGGATGATATGATTCGGAAGAATGTAGTGGACTCTGTATTAGTTGAGAAGAATTTCTTGTCGAACGCTCACAACAATTCGGTAGTCAAATTGTTTTGGGCGTTTCAAGATGACGTCAATCTCTATTTGATAATGGAGTACTGCCCTGGAGGAGATTTGGCGACTTTATTAGAACAAATTGGGTGCTTTAGTGAGCATGTAGCGAAGGTGTATTCAGCGGAGATTATTTTGTCGTTGCATTACATTCACGCGCTTGGTTGTGTTCATAAGGACATTAAACCGGATAACATTTTGATTGACAAAAATGGGCATTTAGTGTTAACTGATTTTGGCTTGTCTTCATATGGCTTTGTATCAGAAGAGTCTGTGCAGAAGAATGGGATCTTCTGTACTCCAGACTATGCTGCGCCTGAAATCTTAATGTCAAATAGTTACTCCTTTGCAAGTGACTACTTTGCTCTGGGATGTATGATGTTCGAATTTGTCGTAGGATACCCCCCTTTTAATGCGCCAACACCAGACGCTATATTCATGAAAATACAAGAAGGGAAATACTGCTGGCCTGATGACGTGGAAGTGTCGGAGATGATGAAGGATCTCGTCGATAAATTGCTGAGCTGCGATCCTAACAATCGCCCAAATTTTAATGAGATAGAAAAACACATCTTCTTCAAGGACATCCACTGGAGTACCCTTTTTGATGAGAACAGAGAAGACATTTTCGTACCGGAACTCGAAAATGAACACGACACCGGCTATTTTGAAGATGAAAGAACTTTAAAACAAAATCAAATCAAAAAAAATGACGTGATTAGCGGAAAGAAAGGAATGGTGAAAAGAAAGGAAAGTCCTGGGTTCGTCGAGTTCGGGAATTTTAATGCAAAGAATGTCGATAACCTCGTCGACGAAAATAAAAGAATGTACGCGAAGGAATTCTCGCAGTTCGAGGCTGATAACGTGTAATTAATTAGGTTGTTACTGTCTGGTTGTACTGTACTATATTTATTTAATTAAATTTAATACATGAATAAAATGTATTATTAAGTATTATAAACTGTATTAATAAAGTATTGTACATGGTGTATATAATGTACTATAATATAATAGGTTTTTAAAGTAATATTCTATTGCTATTATTAGTTCATTTTTTTGAAAAAATATCTTAGTAAAACTATTGAATAATATTGTCTTAATTTGGTTTTATCACTAAGATAATTTTTAACAGAATAAACAAAATAGAGATTTGAACCTAAAAAAAAAAACTAAAAACTAATAGTAATTAAATGGTTAATAAGAAATAATTAAAAATAAAAAGAATAACAAGAAAAAAGAACCATAGAACTCAATAAATAAAAACCATGTTTTGGAGTCTTGTGGTGAAGCCAAACGAAAAGACAGAGTTCAAGACGGGTGATATCCTCCACATTACAAACGCTGTTTGTTTATAATTAAAAATAACTTACAATACACATTAATAGTAAAACTCAATAACTCATCTCATCAAAAATTTCAATCACACACAAGATATAAAGTAACGGAAAGATGTTGGTCACAAAGACAAAAACCGAGTTGAAACAACGCAGTCAATTGTCAATACTGTGCAACCAAACGAAAACTTTAATTGTTTCGTTCATCCCGGGGCATCGTGACCACACACAACTCGACCTCGTCATCGCAAAGCAAAACGTCGTCTTCTTGAACACGGGAATCCACTCAATCCATCTTTCTGGATACATCACAAAGATCTCACAAGAAGAAAACGCGATGGAGGAGGACGACGAGGAACTCCCCGCACTCGGGAGCGATAACGAGGACGACGAGGAACTGAAAAAGAAAGAAAAGGATTCAAAGGCAATTAAAAAACCGAAAGAGAAGAAGCCAAAGGTTTGTTGAAAGCTTTTTTATTCATCACTTAAACTCATTTGCAGAAAGAAACTAAAAAATGAATTGAATGAATGATTTATTATGGTTCGATAGTTTTAATATACTAAATAGTTCATTATTAATTATGTAATAATAATAACTATCTGTTATTATTTAATAATTAAAACTTTTATTAAAATGCTAATTATATTGTCGAAGATATTTTAATTATATAAAATAATATAAAAAAAAATAGAAAAAATTATTGAGTATTATATATTATGGTTTATTTTAATAATAAATATAACACAAAAAGTATTATAAAGATAACTAGAATTATTTGTTTAAAATTATTATATTTATTATACAACTTGTCTAATACAAATTTATAATGAATTTTATATTATAATGTTAAATAAATTACATAATTGTATAAATAATTTGAATAATTATAATTCATAGTATAAATATATCACACCATTTCAAATAAAACCAAAAAACAATTTTTATTAAACATCAAATTAATGTAAAAAAAACATTTTTACAAAATAAACAATTAGATAACTAGTAAATATAATATAATTTATAAGTTATTATAAAAAATATTAAAAAAATATAACTTTAATTTTAATCCAAAAAAATAGTATCAAAAGGGGACAGCAAGAAAAGGCGAAACAAAGAAAGTCAATGAGTTTGGAGCCGAGTGAGGCGACCATATATTTTCAGTGGGAGTGGGAGGAAGAAAAGGGATTTTTATTTAGTTCGAGTTGGACGCCATATCACCGAAACGAAAATCAGCAACTTGAAGAACATTATCAACAATTTTTGGATGAGATTTATGTTGGCCCAGTCGACCTTCAAAACGTTCCACAAAAGAAAAAGTTAGTCGTAGGCGACTACGAAATCGATTTTAAGAACTTAAAACAAATTAATAAAATTACAACGTTCACACGAAACATTCGAAGAGTTCGAAAAGAAGTCATTTGGGGACCAGCAAGGTGGTGTTATTCCGGAAAAAGGTGTACTAAAGAGTTCTCGGATCTGCTCGAAACACTCTATAAAGGGTTCCTCAACGGCGGAAAGGAAATAGTCCAAGTCGAACTCGGAAAGAATAAAAACTTATATGAAATAGACTTCACGGCCTTTGTACAGAAAAACTTGACGACTCAGACGTATAGGAAACTGTCGAGGATCGACGAAAACAACGAACCAATTGTCGATAAGTAAGTCCTTTGGCATGTTACTATATTTATAGTTACGTATCTAATACAAATAGAATATAACTATTCATTTACTATATCTTTCTAGTACCACTTGCTTGACCAATAAAGAACTATATGTTATAATAAAAATAAGTATATCATTTCCATACTTAATTAACTACAATAAATAATAAATAAATAAGTGTAATCTAATTAATTGTTATAGTAAAATATATAGTAAAATGGTATAAAGTAATAGTAAAAGAAAAAGTGAAGGACACAACTCGAAAAGAGAGACAACTCTGCTACTTGGTATTAATGATAGTAACCCGAATATATAAAACGCTATGTCAAGAGGTTCATAACCAAATGTGGTTTTTAATTTCATTCAGTGTTATGGTGGTTTGTGGGGGGACTGCGGTGTTCTATTCACATCTAACTGACATCTTTATTTTTGAGATTTGGCTGTATATTACGTGGCCGTGGATGTGTTGTTGTATGGTGTCACTTAACGCAAGCGATCCGGGAAGAATCTCTTCCCGTGCCGCCTATTTTTCCCGTCACTGTTCCGAGAAACTGAAGATGATCGACATCCACTTGTTTGGGAATAACATAACTGCAAAGTATAAAAAATGTTATTTGCAAAGGCCTTTCTGTGCGTCGTGTAAATTTGTAAGACCTTTAAGAGTCCACCACTGTCGTCGCAGTAACTGCTGTGTCGATCGATTTGATCATTGGTGCAGTTGGGTGGGTAACACTATCGGGTCATACAACCGAAAAACATTTTTTGTGTTTCTGACAATAACATTTTTCACGGATATTGTGGCTGCTCTCGTGTGTGGAATTGCGGTTTATAAAATGTTTTTGAAAATGTTATTTGGGATCGTTTTGAAATGCCCACTACTTGTACTCTCATTTTGTATTTTCTCAATCGTCTCTTTCTTCATTTGCAAATTATGGGCTTTTCACGTCAAGGCAATGCTGCACAATTACACAACTTACGAATATATCAAAAACAAAGATGTCAATCTCCCTAATCCGTTTGTTACTATTTATGTATTGTTCATTTACTATCAATTTATTATTTTACCAGATTCAAATGATCGAGGTGTTTTTAAAACAAAAGTAAATTGATATTTAATAACTAGATATGACGAAGGAATGTGGACAAACTTCAAAAAATTCTTTTTCGTTTCCAACAGCTCTTGTAGTTACTATTTTTGAATAATTGTTTTACTATATATTCTAGTTGAATAATAACGTTTGTGTTATTTTTTTAAAATAAATTTCGACTGTTATTCGTTTTGTCTTTTAAATAAAACTTTTAATTTAAAACGTATTTAAATAATTATTAATTAAAATTACTATAATATAGTTTATACAAACTATATGATAAGTTAGATTTAAGTTAGTTTAATTTTAATAAAAAGTAATATAAATTTAACTCTTAAATGTTATAATTAATTTTCATTTTTAATAATTTCAACTATAATTATTTAATTATTTATATTTTTAATTAATATAAATTTACTTGTTGTTTACCCACCACTCAGTGACGGGAATTTTTTTTTAAGAAATGTTTTTTTAACAACAGTTTGTTTGTTCATTCAATTGTTAGTAAATTGTTGAGTTAATAAAACTAAACACATACTATTGCTATGTGTATGCCATTTAAAACTACTTTTTACATATCAACTAAACTTTAATAAACGATAGTTAGTACATTGTTAACTATCGGTTCTTTTCATTGTTTAGTTATT